GACCCTGGGGGCTCGCTCGGTGTGGAGCCTCGATCCCCCACAGCAGGGGACCTTCCCATTGGATTCATGTTAGTCGGGGGCAGCCTTTTTGAGCCCTTCTTTTGGGATTTTCACACGCTGCTTTCCCTCAGTGAGGAGCCTTTTCCAGCGCCTTGCAGAGCTGCACCAGCTTTGGCTGCTGACTCCAGCGACCACACCTGCGGGCAGCAGTGTGGGCTCTTTGTGTCTTCCCTGTGTGGTTTCCTCTTGCCTCCCAGGAGAGCAGAGGGAAACACTAAATAACCCCTGAATATTTGCATCTGACGCGTCCCTTGCGGGTGGGGGGTGTGGAGCTGGCTCAGACCTTCACGCTGACTGTTAATTCTTCTCTTTTAGCTCAGGGTCATGGTGCCAAAGGGGACAACATCTACGAATTCCAGATTGAGTTCCTAGAGCCAGTTGAGCCTAACGTAGGTATTTTTACTTTTCTATTGAAAAAAAAAAACCAAACAGTAATTTTGGAAAAACTGAAAGGGAGATGACTGTGTGTGTAGCTCACAATGTGCTGTTTAGATTTTCCTGGTGACTCTGAACTGCTGCAAACTAAAAGCCATCCATGGCAGTCGTGCCCCAATGTGCTCCACCATCCTCAGTGGAAATCACCTCACTGAGCCAGTGCTTGCATGGGGCAGCTTGACTAGAACCAGGGCCTTGCAGGTATCAGTTCTTCAGTGGTAGCTGGAATTTTTTTTAAGGATTCAAGGCAGCAGAATAACAGGAGAATTTGGCAATGTGTTGTCTGATGCAGCCTTGACTGGGGAGCAGGGGAACACTGTGCTCTGAAGCGCCAGTGTGATGTCTCCTGGCTTCTTTTGCAGCCTGACAAAATGAGAACTGGTGGTTCTGGCTCGTGCAGATTTTGCAGGTTGCCAGTATGGATATGTCATGACTCCTGTTCCAAAAGTCTTTCCTTAATTGCTGTTGCAGTCTGATAGGAGAGACGTGCGCTGGGAGAGCAGCCCCTCTGGTTACTTGTGGGTGAAGTCTGCCTCTACTTCTCAGAGCTGTTAGAGGCACAGGAGAACTCTGGGCTCTGCTCCCAGGGCAGGATTTGTGCTGCTTATTCCTAGCTGCCAGCTGGGGACAGCTGCAGTCAGCCTGGGAGCCACTGTTCACCTCTGCTGCTTCAGCAAGGGAGGAGGTCACCGGAGGCTGAGTTTTTGGGGTCTGCCAGAAGGCAGGTTTCTTGAATGGCTCCCACCAGGTAGAGTGGCAGGCAACGAACATCTCTCAGTTCCAGGGTCTGGACACCAGTTTGTCAGCTGGCTGGGGAAGCAGCAACTGGCTGGGAAGCAGTGTGGGGAGAGGTGCCCTCCACTGCCTGGGGTTATCCGGGGTGCTGGCAGATATGGGCTGTGCTGGGAGCCAGGCAAGTCCTGGCTCTGCAGAGCCTCCTTCCAAAAGTCTAGTCACTCTGAGTCACCGTGGAGAACAGACTCTGGAATCTGTGTAACTACAGATGGTCAGGACCAGGAAGGATTGTAGTAAAAAAAAAGAAGGATTGATGTGCACCACGAGTGGCTCTTGCTGGTGTGAAGCAAGGGGCCACACTCACTGGCCACCAGCAAGAGATGGAGTCTCTGACAGGCAAGGACCAGGCATTAGTAGCTGTAAATCACAGCTACAGCCTTCAGATGTCCTGGGAGCAACCAGACAGCCTTGACAGAGCAGTGCTGGTGTAATGGGCTTACTTATGAACACAGCTGGCAGCTCTTCTGCCTCAGTTTTGGCTGGTTTGAGAGGCAGTGCCGTGCAGAGCACCCTGGCATAGGCTCGAGGTGCAGAGGGGTGCAGTGGTGGAAGTAAGGGTGGGCACACAAGGTGACAATGCTGTGGGCTCTAAGGATGGAGGAGTTCTGGGCTGCTGTTACGCAGAGTGTAGGTATGGTGGAGAGGCCTCATGGGGTCACAGTGACCACTCTGCCAGCTCTGTCAGGTCCCTGTTGTCTCCAGGTGTTTCCTAAGGCTGTTTGGTCTTCCTCTCACCGTAGCAGATGTCACATGAGGTCCTCTGTTTTGGACACAAGCCTGTAGCTGATGGTAGTGTTATTTTTACCACTGGCTAGAGGAGGTGGGTGGCTCACAGTATGAAACGTGAGAAGTTCTAAAGCCAAGATTAGGGGTTCTGCCTAGGAAGACCAGCACTATGGTCTGTGCTAGCTCTTTGGGGCAGGATGCAATGGTGCTGTATGGCACAGCCAGGCTTCCAAGCTCCTTATCAAGTCCTACAGTCATCACAGTCACCATCATCAACTGAGCTGCCCTTGGCTTCCATGCCTTGGGTGGCAGAGAGGTGCTTGAGCTGCAGCAGCCTATGTCATCCCTGCTTCCCTGATAAGGAGAGCTTGGGTATCAACTCAGTCTCAGAGTTTGTTTCTAAGGACTTTTGCTGATGTGTGCTCCTGTGCCTGCCCTCAGCTTGTATGCAGAGTGACTCAAAGGCAGCTGAACATCACCGTGCAGAAAAAAGAGAGTAACTGGTGGGAGAGGCTCACCAAGCAAGAGAAGCGCCCGCTCTATCGACCGCTGGCTGGACGAGTCGGATGCTGAGATGGAGCTGAGGGAGAAGGTCAGTCCTGGGGCACATCTGCTTTGGTCTTCATTTACCTGCAGTTGTCTGGCTTGCTGATTGTTCCTGCTGTTTTGTACAGATCCCACGCAGGGCTGGTTAAAGAGCTGGAGTTGTAAACAGATCAGAAACAGGCACACTTCTGGCTAGAAAAGCAGCAGCACGGATCTGAACCGGTGGCCATAAGCTGGCTCAGTGCACTTGTGCCCCTGGCCCTGGGCCACCTTTCAGCCCCGTGTCCCCATCCATAGGAGGATCCCATCAATGTGCCATATGGAGCCCAGAGATGCCAGTCTCAGGCATTCCTTGGAAAGTAGGGATTTCCACTGGGCTGGCCCTCACAGTGTATTCCCACCATCTGGTAAGCTTGAGAGGCTTATTGGAGCATGGAGGTGAAAGCCCTTCTTGGAAGAGCCTTGACCAGGCCCCATTTCTGTAAATCTGTTTTACAGCCAATGCTGCCCTGTTCCCCTCCACGGCCACTGAGCTTGGCACGGAGGAGAAAGGGCCACTGCAGTGCCAGGAGCCAGAAAGCAGCGGTGGAGGGCAGGCAGAGAGCCTGGGCTGGATGTTCTCAGCTCCCTTCAGGTCACTGGTGGGTCATGAAATGTTTTAAAGAACAGCACTAAGAAACAGTAATAACTGAGAATTAACACAGAGAACAGCAGGCTTTTTCAGCAAAAGCATCTAATTGCTAGAATAAAATACATAGTGAAGGCAGGGTAACTAGTTAACACCCTCTAGCTTTTGCTGTGCCATAATTTCTGTGTGACGAGTGTGCTGTTTTATGAAGGTGAAAATGTAAACCCTCTAGCAGCTGGCTGCTTAGCTGAGTTTTAAACCCACTAGCTTTGCAGTAGTATAGTTAACAAATCACTTGCTAATTACAGTAACAGTCTTTAAAAACCTTATCCTTCACCTTAAGGAAGAAGAAAAGATTAACAAAATGAAAATAGAATCCAGAGTCCCAAAAGACCGTAAGTAACCGTACTTTTTTTTGTGTGTAAGGTGGGGTTTAGAAAGCTGCTGTCACTCTTAAAACAAACCTCAACTCTTTGGAGCAGTTTTGGCTGCATGGGGATCTTTGTATTGTGAGCTATTTAGAAATTTCATAAAAAATGGACTGCAGCTTCCAAGGAATTAAAAAAAAGAAATAAATCTGACTGCTAAGAACTGAGTTCTAGCAGTTAGAACTCTGCACACAGCAGCCCTTTTATCACCATCAGTAGCTTCCCTTTTTCTTGTATAATCTGTACCCATCAAAAGCCTGTTCTGCAGCCATACTCTGCTCACCTGATGTGCTTATTATTGATTTTAGCTTTCAGGCACCTGAAGAAGGGATACTTAGTCATGTATAATCTTGTACAATTTTTGGGATTCTCTTGGATTTTTGTGAACATGACAGTACGACTCTTCATCTTAGGAAAAGGCAAGTAACAAGCACCATTTTATTTACATGGGGGTTTTGTTTTGGTTTTTAAGTGTTGTTTTTAATACTTCCTATAACAGTGAGATCTAAAGGAAGACATAGCTGGGAAACAAAATCATAAACACATCACCAAGGTGCACAGTAAAAACCTCTCAAAAGCTATCAGGGTGTCAAGGATGGGAAAATGCTGTCCTCCTGTAAATCACAACTGCACATTCTGATGAAGGATACTTGTACTCTGCCCAGAATACTTCTACAGAAATCAGCTGGAGCAAAATGTCTCCCTGCAATGTATTTTTGAAAATGAGCCAAGCAGAATATTTTGATTTTGAAGCAAGAATGATTCCGTCTATTAATGTTTAGTGCTATTGCCTTTTTTTTTTTTCTGTAATTACTGAAATAGCTTTTGATCCTGCTGTGTGTAAAACAGAGCACTTAAGCAGTGTTTCTGGCCTAACTGCTGTGACTTCAAGATAAGGCCTGTAAAAAAAGTTACCTAATTATTTCTCTATATTTTCAAATACAATTAGAATCCTGTTATCAAAAGCTGTGCTGCCACACCAGCTTCCTGAACATGGAAATTCATTTGTTCTCCACAATGGTTTCCTGTGTCTTACAGATTCCTTCTATGATACATTTCACACTATTGCTGACATGATGTATTTCTGTCAGACCCTGGCAGTAATGGAGATCATGAATTCACTAATAGGACTTGTCAGATCACCGCTGTTACCTGCTGTAATGCAGGTAATATTTCCAGATTTTTCTCCTTCCCCCTTGCCATGTTTAAAGTAAATATTTTACACAAGTGTTGAGACTCCTAAAATCAGTGATACAACCTCACTGGCACTGCACTAGAGAATGCATTGCTGAAAAGGCAGAAATCCATGCTTCCCTGTCTTAGCTGTGGCAGGCTGTCTTCTCCCATCACCTAGGTTAAGGTAGTTTGGGACAGCAAAAGCAAGAAGCAGCTGACAAAAAGTACAGGATTTTGATTTGGTTCCTGTGCCCTTTTTATCCTGGTGGTTGTGGATAAAAACAAGGATAGATGGTTGTCCACATTTAGCTCGTGCCCAGGGCTAAACTACAGGCATTGCTCTGTTGCTCGATGACCCCTTCCCAGCCAAGAAGGGGGGTGGGGAAGAGCCACAACAACAAACACAACAGCCAAATCCATACCAATGCAAATATAAAGTAAACAAAGCTATACTCAGCCCAGCAAATGTGCAGTGGTCCCAAAAACCAGGGAGGCATCCTCAGGAGTCTAAGGCAGAGCAGGAGCCCAAGCAGGAGGCTTCCTCATCCTCAGGAAACTTATCCCTTTATACTAAGAGGTCTGTGGTCTGGACACACCTGCAGCCAACTGGGGTCAGCTGCCCTGGCTGACTCCAAACTGCTAACGGCCTGCAGACCATGGCAGGCCTGGGATTCTGTCCCAGCCAAACCAGGACAATGATGTCAGACTAGGTCCCTTGGATTGCACTGTAATACAGAGCAAAATGTGTGCTCGTAGAGTTCCCAGCTCAGCTGCAGGGTTAGTTATGTGCTTAGCATAGGTGAAAAGAATTACGGAATCGTTCTGGTTGGAAGAGACCTTCAAGATCATCAAGTCCAACTGTTACCCCAAGAGTAGATATCCTGCATGGTTTTGACAGCAGGGACTTGCTCTTTCTGCTGATGGAGTGTGACTGTTCCTTGATTTGTTTTTCTTAAACAGATATTTGGAAGAAACTTTGTCTTGTTTGTTATCCTTGGAAGCTTAGAGGAAATGCAGAGCAAACCAGTAGTGTTCTTCATATTTTATTTCTGGAGTATCATTGAGCTGTTCAGGTTTGTGGGATTTTTCTTCTAGCAGGTGTGTAGAGTATAACGTGGTTGTTCCCAAGAACTCTGTAGTGAAGATTTTGATCTCTATACCTTTTGGAAGAGTGGCACTGGCCCCAAGAGGGTAAAATCTCCTTCAGTCATGGACTATCACAGCTTTCCTAGGTTGCTTCATCTGCCAAAAGCTGGGACAAGGCTGGAGTCTGAAAATAATAGTGCCCCGAAACTAGGGAAACCTGTTGCTTTTTTCCTTGAGGGTCCTGTTGCTTTGAATTTCCATTGCTATGTGAGCTGCACTGTGCTCTGCTTCTCTTTCAAAAGAAGCATTTTGAGAGGTTTATTAGGCAAGCCAGGCAGCTGCCCTCATCCATGTGGTCAGAGTGAGAGCATGAGTTCTGTGAACTGCCAAGTAAAGATGTGTCCATCACGATCCACGGGAACAACCTGTTGAATGTTCTTGTGTCTTTTGGGAATGATGCTGACAGTACAGCATCTGTGTGCAGGACTGATTCTAGCAGCAGCTTCCACTGTTTCTTCTCCCTCTGAACTGGCTTTAGGTATCCGTATTACATGCTGTCGTGCATCGGGATTGAGTGGAAACCACTAACCTGGCTCCGTTACACTGCCTGGATCCCTCTCTACCCCTTAGGAGGCTTGTCAGAAGGTATGTCCAAAATAGACAGTTTAATAACTAATGAATTCAAGACTGGGCAAATAACTCAGGGTTTTTTTTTTGACTGCTGAACTTAATAATAGAATAGAAAAGCAAATAGACACTTGCTCTGAGCTGAACCAAATGTAAGCGTTCTTGTCTTTCTTATTGAATCAAGTATTTTTCTTTTACTTTGATGTGGAAAGTAATCTTCCTTTTGGGCACTGGAGAGGGAACTAAAGGCAACAGAAGGTTACATGAGCAAACTGAGCAAGAGCGTGCAGCAGTCCATGCGAGCAGCACAGGATGACAGCACTAGCTTCCCTCTGCCAGCCCAAAGGAGTCTGTTTGCTTTTGTCTGCTGGACCTGGCTTGGTCAGCCTAGCTTGGGTTCACTCCAGCCCACAGACCTTGATGTTATCTTGTACATCATTGCACAGCATGGGCAGGGGCCAATTCTTCCCCTGAAAGCAGCATAGCCTGTTCCGAGATGGGTTGGTGCTTGCCCAGCAGGGCTGTGCTCCCCTTTGGCTTGGAGAGGGGCTGCTCTGTGGGAGAAGCAGGCACCTGATCCTGCTGTACTCCCTCTAGAGCGGGGGCTTTACAGTGTACTCTTCTGTCTTAACAGGTCTGGATTATTTGTAATTTGTATTTATTTAAGAAGCCTATCCCTGCTCAGCTTCCAGCTGTAAGAATCGTGTTGCAATCGTACCTGTCAGAACCTGTTTCCATGAGCCAGGAGCAGGCTTGGGCATTGCCCAACTCCAGGCACAGGGAACACGATGCCTGTTTCGTTGCCGTGGGTGTTTCAGCCTGGTAAATGCTGCTGGCACAGGCCCTGCAGGCTACACTTGTGTGTGAGAACAGTCTCTCACCAGGCAAGTTCACTGTGCCTACACTTCCATAGCTGAGCTGTGATGCTACTGCCTCAGCTACTGCCTCAGCTTTCCATCATACTGCATGTTTAAAAAAAAACAGCTTCAAAACTTGTACTGTTAATAAGAGCCAGCAGTTTAAGAAGGGAATATGCTGGGAAAGTTGATGTGGGCTAAGCAACTGTGTCTTTTATCTGTTTGATAATGATGGTGGCCTTCTGCTTTCAGCCGTCGCTGTCGTTCAGTCCATTCCAATCTTCAGTGAAACAGGGAAATTTAGTCTGGGATTGCCAAATCCACTGAACGTCACAATCCAGTTTTCATTTTTGCTTCAACTATACCTTATAGCCTTGTTTTTAGGTAAGATACTTAACTGTCTTTCTCACTATTTATATAAAAAGACCAGTTTCCTCTGAATAAGAATATTTTTTTAAGAAAATTAAATTCCTGCATCTTGGAGATCATGGCAGCAGAAAATTGCTGGAGGTTAAGCATTATCCTTGTTGCATATGTGATCATTCATTGTTTAGATTTATGTGGTTTTTCATTGATGAAGAGGAACACACCCACAATTAGCAAAGTTAGCCTCCCAAGACAGAAACCTCAGCAACAACATTATCAGCATTATCTACTGAACACTTGGGTTAAAAGGATAATTTTTACATGTATTTATAACTTCAGTATACTTAGTTTCACCTGGTATTTGAGCTTTGGAATGATTTAGTGGAAATCTAAACATAATTTCAAATGAAAGCAACGTTTCACTAAAGTGCATTATAATTACTAATGCAACACAAAGCCATGTTTTTCCAGGAAACAATATAAAAGGCTTTTAAAATATATATATAAGTATACTTAAAGAACAGTGGTGCTTGATACGTATTTAACACAAGTTAACTTTGTAGTATGCACACCCAGTATGCCAGGGTAGTCACAACTGGGTAGAATTTAACCTAGAATTTTAAACTGGACTTGCACTAGGTTTCTCCCTTTCACAGACATTGCTTAAAAATTACCTTTCATCGAGCTTTACTCAGAAATACCTGTTTGATCCTTCCCCAGTTCTATGCAGGTGCTGCTGCAACTTTTAGAAGTGACAAACCCACCTTCTGAGCAGCTCAGTATCAAACAGCCTGTGCTGCAACTCCTGCCTCACCCAGCAAGAAAACACTTGCATTAGATTTCAGTGCTATTCACACCCTGAAACCATCACTTTTTTGTGTGGTGGTGGGTTTGTTGTTGTTTCTTTCAAATTGGGTACAGCCATCTAGCATTGAAAAGATGCAGCAATGTCCTACCTAAACTCTTGCTTCTTTTCCAGGGGTATTTCTAAACTTCCGCCATCTCTACAAGCAAAGGAAACAGCACCTTGGACCAAAGAAGAGAAAGATGAAGTAGAGGAGGACTGCAATGCTTTCTTATCTAACTTATCTCAACAAGATAAGCCTCTAATTCTTATGGTTTTACCCACTGTAATGTAAAGAATTTTGTAAAATTCAATGATCACGCTTGATTTCATGATTCCATAGCGAGTTCAGGTCACATTCCCATAGGCTATTCTGTTCCCTTTCAATCATGTATGCATGGCATCTACCACTCAGCAGCAACATTTACACTTGTATCTTGTCAGCTACCATATTAGAAAGAAATCCTATTATCTGCATATAATATGCTTATGAACAATGGAGCAGCACTAAATAGAAATAGCTTTTATCTTTTCATGGGATATTTGCTCTTTCAATATTGCATGCAGATAGGGCTTCTGATGTCAGGATATACTGTTAGCTGCCCCATGCTGCTCCTGTGGTGCACCTTGGTGGCAGGAGCAGAATCTGAGACCACTGAACAGCGTTTGGATGTTCACAACAGCTGGGGTAAACTTGCTCAGCACCCCCACCCCTCCCCTTTTCTTCTGCAGCGTACTGATGCTGCAGGATTAGAACTGGAAGTAACTAATGCTGATATAAATGCTGCCAACTTAGCCTGTTTCTAGTTTAGCCTGGGCAGAGTAGGAGTGCTGTGTGGATCCTAGCATTCCTGTAGCAACTCATCTTTATCCAGTCATTAGGGAAAGGAAGCTGCCACTCTGGGACATGGTCAGAAACACCTTTCTGGTGGGTATTGCAAGAGTGGAAAGGTAACAAAGCAAGGGAACATAGGTACCAGCTTTCTCCTACCACCTGAACAAAGCCCAGCAGAACTCCATCCCACCCACACAAACAGGAGAAGGTGGAACTGTCATGGGAGACCAGGGCTCCTCTGATCATTCCTGGCAGGGCTCATAGCTCCTGTATTTATAGCCTTCAGAAAAGCAGTAAAGATTGCTTTGCTATTTACATGTAGGGGTGCAGCTGGGAGTTGGCATGTATGCTTTGTTAGCTAGCCCCTGGTGAGATGGAGTAGTGAGTCAAATAAATTGGGTATTACTTAGATAGAATCAAATCTCAGCAAGGGAGATCCCACATGAGGTTTGATGGGACTCCTTCCTCTGTGCTTGCTTTAAAGAGCAGCAACAATAAGAGAAGCTCCCCCATGTTCCAGATCGCCTACTCTCTCACCTGGAAACCTTTGTTTCAGCTGACTGTAATTGCAACATGGCCTTCTTCTCCTGTGGTTAATTCCAGATCCCTCTGGCCTCCTTAATCCTTACAAAATGTACAAAAAGTTTGCTCTGAACGGTGTTGTGGTTATGAACAGGTTGCTTCAGAACAACTGCTGCTGCCCAGGGGGCAACGCACAGCGATGCCAGCAGTCCACAGCAGGCACTGCAGCTGAGATTAGCTCAGTGCCATGCTACTATTTATCTTTTCCTGCTGTAAAACAATATGAATCTCCAGGGAAATTATTTTCTGTATTAAGAGAAGCTGACTGTCTGTGATATGGACCCAATGATTGTTACTGTAAAGGAAAGGAAATAGTGTCAGAAGGAGATTTTAACAAAGAGCTGGTACAGGCTCCACACTGCATTTCACAAGTTGTGTCAACAAGTGGCGTGATGCAACTTCTCTTTAGGGACACGTGAGACTCCCACTCAAAGGAGAGTGCAGCTTACTTTACTCAGGAGAGTTGAGCATTATTTACACACAATATTTCACTTACACACTGTACCTATGTTTAAAGTATGTCAAAGGATTGAATTAGCTGAGCAATGGACCAGCAAGGATCACTTTCATACTTTCTCCACAGGGCATTTAAACTTCTGTTACGAAATCCGTATGTATTCATACATCGTATTTCTCAGTGAAATTGTGGTACCTAGTGCAAGCTGTCATGGATCTTACACTACTGAATTTTAGTCCTTCAGAAAGAATGTGTTTCTATTAATAAAGATTTACAACCAAATTGTGCTTTAGTTCAGTTTGGTCTTTCCCTGAATGCGAGAAGTTGTATCACTGAACTGTTGTGATTAACGAGTTGGGAGCCAGGCCTTCACCAGGTCAGTGTTCTAGCCACGGAGCCTAGCTGCTATGAAAATGGAACAAATCCAACTTTTTTCAGGAAGAATTACTCTTTATTAATATTACACAAATAATAATAAAAAAGTCTCACCAGATTTACTTACTTTCACAAGGATATGCACTGCAATGCCAAGTGATAACTCTCCTTACGGCAGTGCAGACTGGCTTTCGTTGGGCATGAAATCAGTGACAACACCCTGAAATGAGCTGGGCATCTGACTTTGCACAGTGATTCTCTGGAGAAATCAAGGATTTTAGGATGTTTTTACCACTGAGCTCAGTTATGTAGCAACTGCAGTTTGGGGAGGCCAAAAGCCACGAGCAGTCTGCTGCCTATGATGGCATTTTCTTCCTCTCCTCGCACATACTGAGTAACTTCCACCCACCATCCAACACAGTAACTGACTTTGCAACACTTTCCACAGTTTCCAGGTCTGACTAAAGCCACCACAAACTACCTAGGTTTATTTAGAGAGCACTGAGGCAGGGTGGAGACTCTATTTTGAGTAAACGGGCCCTAGAAAGTAAACAGGACAAAAAAAATGGAACCCCTTGAGTCTTAATCTAGTTCCCAAAAACAGAGGCTTCACATTCTCTCAGTGCCACTATTGGAAAAGTCCGTCTGCAGCGGGGCAATGTTGTGATCATAGGCAGCATATTCTGATGCTCCAGTGCTCGCCACCTTGAGCTGCTGCGCGGCGTGGGTGAGCTGGAAGGCGGCGTCGGGGTGGGCGGTGTCGGGGAGCAGGGTGCACTCCCTCTCCAGCATGTCTGCCACGCCCTTCAACAGGTCCAGAAAGCCAAAGGCCAGAGCTGCCTTCCGCAAACGATTCAGTTCCTGCAGAGAAGGGAAACTCCTTTTAAAGCCACTCTAAGCCTTTATGTAAAACCTGGGGTTTCTTCTTTTGGTTTTTAGTGGCGATTTTATTCACCACTAAATAAGCTGAGTGATCAGTACTGCTGCTGGAAACTGCCCGGCTGCTCAGGAGATCAAACATGCTTCAGGGCTGAAGATGACAGTGGCACAACTAAACAGCTGCTTTTTCCTTGATCCCTTCCTATAAATCTCCACTTCTCCCTTTTCTGCACTCATCTCCAGTACCTGGCTGTTTTGGCTCTGTCCCAGCTGGGGGTGGCCTCCAACTTCAGCTTCACTGACTGCTGCTTTTAACCACAGTGTCCAGGAAAATGTACAATATTGATTTTCCTTCGTTAGAAACTGACAAGTGCTTGTGTGCATTTAAGCAGGGTAGTAATTCCTGAAGTCTCTGGGGGCTACAATGACAAACTGCTTCAGCACTCAGCTTAGGAAAGGAACAAGTTACCTCCATCTACAGTCTCGATTATGGATTATTACAATGTGGCCAAAGACCTCTGAAATTTTGTCTTTGTCTGCTTCAGTTGTAGAAAAATACAGGTGACATTTTCAGACTCAGGATGACATCTGTGTTCCTATTCTTTTCTGATCCCTCAGTTTATTTTCACCTGGACAACAACATAAAATCTGCAAAGTTCACAATGGAAGTAGCAGGGATCATGAGGGACACAGGTAAACGTGACACATCTGTGCCACCCTGCCAGAGAACGTGGTGGCAGGGAAGCCAGATCCCTTTCTCTCACCTTAACTAGTCTGTGGAATACACCCAGGATGTCTCTTTCTTCACCAAACTGTTTGTGCAGAGCCCTACAAGCGCCTGTAGAACACACCACACAGTATGTGCTCCTCTGTCAAATGCCCCACTAGAACTCTGGACCAAATTTGGGCCAGCCTGAAATATTACTCACTTTATAGAAGGTCTGAGTTTTTTCAGGGAGCTTCTTTGCATTTCTCAAGATCTTCTGTACATCTGTCTGCAGAACAGAAAGAAAAAAAAAAAATTAAAATCCTGGCAACTGCTGCGGAAGCTGCAGAAAAAAATCCTCAACTATTTGTTGATAAATTTTCCTGACCATTGACAAGACTGCAGCTCACAAAAGGCTGAAACATAAATGGTAATTATCCTCAATCGAATAAAAGAGGCCAGATGCTACACTGGAGACACAGCTCTCACTAGACAAGCTATGCTTTCTGACTGCATTTTAATCATGACATTGTACAGAGGCACTGTTTATAAAAATGAAAGAAAAGCAATAAAGCAATTACATTACACAGACAAAACACACACAGACTCCACTTTGCCAGTAAGATGGCTACTGCTGATCAAAGTCAAGCGTGCACTCCAAAACCTGCATCATTACCTGGAGGCCACTTGGTTTAATCCACACAGTAACATTCTGTGCGTAGCTGCGCTTGTTCTTGGGTTGCAGGGGGAAGGGGCTCTTGTTGTCATCCTCTCCATAAGGATTTTCTTTTGCATCTGGGAGAAAAAAGAAAATAAAATAACTGATCTTGGCAAGGTAACTCACAGAACACTGAATGTGTAGGAGTTACTCAAATGAGGGTCCCAGTACCTGAAATGGGTCCAAGCTGTGCCATCTTCCCTAGCCATGGAAGGGGCTCAGGCCCAGGTTCAAAGAGGGACATCATGAGGTTTGATTTCTTCTTGCTATCAGCTTGGGAATAGAGCATTCCATACCACTCTGGACTATTAAAAAGAGCAAATCACAAAAGGCTGAAAATCTTCCACCACTCTTTGCCTAGAATTTGCTTCCCTCCCACTGTGGAGAGGCTCACTATTTGCAATTTATACTGGCAGAAACATATCCACAATTAAAAATCCACAGCTTTGTCTAGCAGTGCAGAGTTCTGTACAGAAGACAGATATAAGAAAGTGTCATCTATAAATAAAGCATAAATGAGCAAAGAAAGAGATTTTTCAGGCAGACATCCAGCTCCATACCCCAACTGGACAACAGCCACCATTCCTTCCACTTTCAGGCTGCCATGTAACAAAACACAGAAGTTGGGGATTTTCCCAGCAATTTGGTTAGCTGAATTCTCATCTTCAGTGTCATCTGTGATCCCAGGTCCCACCTCATCACCTTCTGGGGAAGAATAAAAGCAAAGAAAGAGACAACATAAGAATAAATTCAGACACACCTTCCATGGCACCACCCTGTATTTTAAGCCATGCAAGAGTTAATTAATACTTTTGTAGAATGAACAGCTGCTAAATGAACTGTTCCCACTTTTCTATTATCTTTCTGAAGAACACAGCATTCAAAAAAGAGAAGGAGCTTGTGTTGAAGGTTTGAATTTTAATGTCACCACACAAACATGTCTTTAGAGACATCTGGCAGTTTGATAAAGTGTAAAACCTGTGCTTCCAGCCTAAACCACCACTGACTTTACAAGGGAAGCCTCAAAGCAGTTTTTGCCAAAAGAAACAAAATTTGCTCACCTTTGTTAAGTGCAATGGGCAGTACCAAGTGTCTGGACAAGACAGGAGGGCTAGAGATGTCAGCTATATCTACAAA